TTCTCGAACGTTCATAAAGGCATATTTTAAAGCAAAGTTAAAAAGCAGTGACAATAAAACATCTCCTTGTTTTAGACCATTCTGGATAGGAAATTTATCAGACAAATGTTTACCTACATGGACTTTACTATACGTTTCATTTAAACACATTTTAATCAACCTAACTAGTTTCATGGGTATCCCAATATCAGAATATTGTACAGTACTTCCCTCCTAACTGAATCATAGGTTTCCTTGAAGTCTATGAATAGCTGATGTACTGTCTTATTGTACTCCCATTTTTTCTCCAGTATCTGATGAATGCAAGGGGCACTCAGTAGCATAGTTGGTTGAGGCACTATGCTACAAGCTGGAAGGTTGCGTGTTGAAGTTCCGATGAGGTCACTGGATTTTTTTCAATTCACCGAATCCTTCCAGCCACACTATGCCCTGGTGTCGATGCAGTCTCTAACAGAAATGAGTACTGGGATTATTCTTGGGGTAAAGGGTGGCCGGCGCATAGGGCTGACAACCTTGCCGCCACCTATGAGCTGATTGTCTAGAAAATGTGGGAACCATAATATCTCACAACCCTATGGGCCTCCACAGCCTGTTACAGGGACACCTTTACTTTTATTTTTCTTTTTACTTTATCTGACGAATGCAAAAGATATGATCAGTAGTTGATCTGTTACGCCGAAACCCACACTGATGATCACCAGTATTTTCAACTACAACATGTATGAACTCAACCTTGAGAGAATATTGAATACAATTTTATATGAAGTTGATAGCAGTGATATCCCACAATAATTACTACAGTCAGTTTCATCACCCTTCTTGTGAACTGGTACAATAATAGAGTCCTTCCACTGACCAGGTAATTTTACCTTATTCCAAATAGAATTAGCTTATGGGCCTGAGAACGTAATAATCCACCTCCTGTTTTAATAAATTCTGCCAGAATTTGAGCAGTACGTGGCGATTTATACCTCTTTAATTTTGCAATAGGAATTTCAAACTCAAAAGGGCTAGGATCAAGTACTATCAGCTCAGCTGTATGTATGTGGTGCAATCCAAAATTTCCCGAAATATATTAATAAAAACTATTACATCCTACCTAGATCTTATTCTGCACCATCACCTTCAAAGTAGTCCCCTTGGGAGCGCATACACCGATCCAAGCGTTTCTGCCACTTTTCAAATGAATCCTGGAAGTCTTTCTTTGTTAGGGTGTCTAGTACCGTCTGCGTTTCTGCTTGAATTTCCTCAACTGTATCAAATCTTCACCCCTTCAACTTGATTTTCATCTTGGGGAAGAGAAAGAAGTCACATGGAGCTAAGTCTGGTGAGTACGGTGGGTGGGGAACAACTGCCATCTTGTTTTAGCCAAAAATTCCTGCACAAAGTAAGCCGTATGTGGTCATGTCTTGTCATGGTGGAGTACCCACTCGTTTGTGCGCCACTTCTTTGGACGTTTTCTCCTCATGTTCTCCCTCAAACGCCTTAGAACATCGCGATAGAACTCTTTATTGACTGTCTGACCAGGAGGGACGAACTCCTTATGAACAATCCTGTCAATATCAAAAAACAGATCAACATTGACTTAATGTTGCTCTTGACTTGTCAAGCTTTTTTTGGCCAAGGTGAAGAAGGGCTCTTCCATTGCGACGATTGCTGCTTGCTTTCAGGGTCGTAGCCATAAACCAAACTTTCATCACCAGTGACAACCTTCGAAAGAAAGTATGGATCCTCTTGAAGCTGTTGCTGAAGTTCCCTGCAGACTTCCAAGCGATGCTGCTTCTGTTCATTTTGCAGCAGTCGTGGCACAAACTTCACTGCAATCCTCTTCATGTTCAGTTGCTCTGACAAAAATTCGTTGACATGTACCATAACTTAGTCCCAAGGTTTTACAGGGGTCTTGGATGGTCAGTCTACAATCTTGCAGAATCAGATCCCAAACTTTCGCAACATTTTCTGGTGTTTTGCCTGTTGACGGCCATCCCCAACGATCGTCATCATCAGTCGATGTTCGGCCATTTTTAAAATGCTTGTACCAGTCGTAAGTTTGTGTCTGGCCTAAACTGTTTTCACCAAAAGCTTGCTTCAACATTTGGTGCGTTTCTGCAGTGGTTTTTCCAAGTTTGAAACAAAACTTTATACAGACACACTGCTCTCTCAGGTCAGCCATCGCAAAACCACAAACTCACGGAAATACAACAATGGAAATACGTTCACCAACAATAAACCCAACCACTCAACTCGATGCTGCTTGCCACACTGATTCAAGAAGGATGTGTGAGGAGAAACCTAGCAGTATTTCAATGTACTCATAACCATTCGCGCGCAAAATTCAAATTTTGGAAAGTTTTGGATTGCCCCATGTATTTCTATCTGCCTAACATCACTGCCCCTATGCACATTCAATAATTTTAAAAAAAGGATGCAATGCAAAACACAATTTCTGGCGAGATTCTCACTTCTGCTTCACATGCCACACGTGGAATACCACATGTCTGTTCAAGTATTGCAGCATTCACTCATTTTCCGCACCAGTGGCAGCTGTTTGCACATCACTGTGAAAGAGTGTATGCTGCATCTTCCCATTTGGCATTAATGACATTCACCTGGCAATGAACAGTTTCTTAAGAAGAGGAATGAGTATCTAAGCCTTCATGCAACTGGTTATATCTAAAGGGCACTCCCTGCATGTCAAACCTGGATCACTGCTCTCACATCCACACAACTGATCCATACCGGTTCAATACGTATACCTTATCGTCCATGATATGTATGCAGTGTCCATCTTATAGTGCACTCAATTTCACTTGTTATTTCACATGTTTCGGCACTGTAGTACCACCATCAGGTGCTCCATTTACGTTAGTCTATTTCATTGCTTGCCATTATGTCATTGTAAAATTTAAAAAGTATTTAAAAATGTTCGTCAATTATAATAAATATTTATATACTAAAAACTTTTTAAGATTATTTATCTTATCTGTCCCAATTCTAACACCGCGCATAGTTCCACCACTACGGGAGTCGTTCCTCTTACTCTCAGTGTATATCACGTTTCGTGTTGTGTGTTCCTTGTTTGGTTGCAGGTGTTGTAATGTAATTACATTACATATACCTTACATTACATGAAGCTCAAACTGAACTTTACCTCATATCTCAGAAGGCTCAACAGATGCAAAACCGGTTCAGTTATGACTTTATTCTGAGTTTGGTCAGGTGCTGGATTTGAAATGAAGTGCCAAATGGGGTTCAAGAATATGGCAAAATGATGACTATTCAAGCCTTTCACACACCTTAGGAGCATTAACCTTTAAGAGACGGCCATTTAAATTCCGGTAGTGGTAGCGGGACGGAGTTAATTTAAATGCCCGCCACTGTAGAGTAATAAAAATTGTAATCATGTTACTCAAAATGCTGTGATTTCTACAATTTTT